CTACGATTACTATTACTACTACTACCACTACTACTACTACTACTACTACTACTACTACTACTACTACTACTACTACTACTACTACTACTACTACGATTCTTACTGTTTACTAATATCACCACTACTAGTACTATTACGACCAAAGCTGCTGGTATCATTTCTACTACTATTACAATCAGATTTACTATTACGGTTTCGATCACCATCTTTCAGATTTCTGTTACTACTGCTACTACTACGTGTCCCACAACGACTACCACGACAACCATTACCACTATTGCTAGTAATCGTAGTAGTAGTAGTAGTAGTAGCAGTAGTAGTAGTACTCGTAGTAGTAGTAGTAGTAGTAGTAGTAGTAGTAGTAGTAGTAGTAGTAGTAGTAGTAGTAGTAGTGGTAGTACTACTACATCCACTACAATTTTCCGTTTCCACGACTATTACTAGTGTGACGACGACGACTACACGACTACTGTTGCCATTACAATTGCATTTGCGACTATTGGTGCGAGCGTTATTATTATTACTACTACGACTATTACTACTACTACTATTACTACCACTACTACTACTACTACTACGGCTAATACTACTACTATTACTACTCCTACTACTACTACTACTACTACTACTACTACCTTTACTACTACTGCTATCACTAGTACAACTATTATTACTACTACTACTACTACTACTACTACTACGACTACTACTACTACTACTACTACTACTACTACTAGTACTGCTACCATTGTTAGCACCACCACGACTACGCTTACTAGTCATACTACGCGTGTTCTTATCATGTTTCCGAATACCATTGCTTTTTTTATTATTATTCGGACGACGACGAGGGCTACTACTAATACTACTAGTCGCGCCGCTACTTCCATGTCCACCATTACTGCCACTAGTACTACCACTACTACCACTACTACTACTACTACTACTACTACTACTACTACTATTACTACTACTACTACTACGACTACTACTAGTACTACTACTACCACTACTACTACTACTACTACTACTACTACTACTACTACTACTACTACTACTACTGCTGCTGCTACTAAGACTACTACAGAGGACGACTACTACTGCTACTACTGCTACCACTGCTACTATCACTACTGATGCTTCTAAAGACTACTACTGCTATTATTTTTATTTCTATTACCACTACTACTACTGCTGCTACTAAAGACTTTATCAGAGCACGACTACTACTGCATCTACTGCTACTACCGCCAGTACTACGGTGGTAAACGCTACTACCACTACGACCAATACCATTACCATTACTACTACTACAGCCACTTCTACGATTACTACTAGTACGACTACGTCTACTTCGATTATTAATATGATTACTACCCCCACTAGTATTACAATTACTACCACTACAGCTACTACTGCTACTAGTACTGCTACTAATACTACTGTTACTACTACTACTACTACTACTTCGGCTTTTCTACCATTACTATTACGACTACTCCCACGACTTCTACTAATTCCACAGGAATTACACTTACGCTTGCTAGCATGTCTGCTACGGCTACTAATACGATTACGAATATTACGACGACTACTAGTGCTATTGCTGCTACTACTACTACGGCGACTACTGTTTCGATTGCTCCTACCAGTTTAATCACTACTACTACCACTGCTGCTACTACTACTACTACTACTACTAGTACGACTACCACGGCTACGACAACGACGACGACTATTACCACCGCTTCTACGCACCACTACCACGACTACGACTACTATTACCATTACTGCTGCGACTACTCATGAGATTTTCACTACTAGTACTACTACTACTAATGCTACTACTACTACTACTACTACTGCTACTACTACTACTACTACTACTACTACTAGTACTACTACTACCACTACTACTACTACTACTACTACTACTACTACTACTACTACTACTACTACGACTACTACTACCTACTACTACTACTACTACTACGACTATTACTACTACTACTACTACTACTACTACTACTACTGCGACTGCGACTACCACTACGACTACTACTACTACTACTACTACTACTACTACTACTACTACTACTGCTACGAGGGCGACTACTACGACGACTCACAATCGCTACTACTACTGCTGCTACTACTATTACTACTACTAGTACTGTTATTTTCTACGCCTGCTACGATTACAGTTTTTTTCAGACCATCACTACTACCGCCCTAGTATTACGACTACCTATTACTTTTTAACACGACCACTATTCCTGCTACGGCTACCACTACTACTACTACTACCACTACCATTTGTACCTTTACTGCTATCATTATTACTACTACTACTAAGGCGGCGCTTGCCACTACGACTACTACGACTACTACAACTAATGTTACTCTTATTAGTATTATTGTTACTACTACTACTACTACTACTACTATTACTACTACTACTACTACTACTACTACTACTACTACTACTACTACTACTACTACTACGACTATGACTACTACTACAACCACTGCTGCTGCTGGTGCTGATACCCGTAGTTTATTATTATCATTTATCGTAGTTCTACTACTACTACTACGACTACTACTACTACTACTACTACTACTACCACTAATACTACTACTACTACTACTACTACTACTACTACTACTACTACCTCCACGAGTACGACCACAACTACTACGAGTACCACTTTTACTACTACTACTACTACTACTACCATTACTACTACTACTACTACTACTACTACTACTACTACTACTACTACTACTACTACTACTACTACTACTACTACTACTACTACTACTACTACTACGACTACTACTACTACTACTACTACTACTACTACTACTACTACTACTACTACTACTACTACTACTACTGTTACTGCTACGATTACGGGCTACTACTAGTAGTACAATTCCGACTACGACTGCGACTATACGAGTATTTACTATGTTACTACTACTACCACTACTACTACTACCACTACTACTACTACTGCGGACTACTACTACTACTACTACTACTACTACTACTACTACTACTACTACTACTACTACTACTACTAGTACTACTACTACTACTACTACTACTAGTACGACTACTACTACTACTACTACCAATACTGCTACTACTACTACTACTTCTACTACTACTACTACTACTATTACAACGATTATTATTATTATTATTACTACTACGACTACGACTACCACTACCACAAGTATTATTATTATTATTACTACTACTACTACTAATACTACGAATACTCCTGCTACGATTACTGCTACTACTATGGCTACAAGCATTACTACCACTACTACTACTACTACTACTACTACTACTACTACTACTACTACTACTACTACTACTACTACTACTACTACGACTACTACTACGACTACTACTACTACTACTACTACTACTACTACTACTACTACTACTACTACTACTACTACTACTACTACTACTACTACTACTACTACTACTACTACTACTACTACTACTACTACTACTACTACTACTACTACTACTACTACTACTACTACTACTACTACTACTACTACTACTACTACTACTACTACTACTACTACTACTACTACTACTACTACTACTACTACTACGACTACGATTATTATAGCTATTACTACTACCACTACTGCTACTACTACAACTAGAACTAATGCTACTACGATTACTACGACTACTACGATTGCTACGACTGTTACGACTGCCACGACTACGATTACGATTACGATTACGATTTCGACGACTTCGACGAATTTGACTTCTACTACGACGCGTTTCTCAGAAGGCGGTGGGGCCTCTCAGAAGCCTCATGCGGCGGCCGTCTGAGAAGCCACTTGGGTCTTCGGAGAGGGCTTTGACAGCTCGTACGAAGGCCAGAGGCCTTCGCAGTCATTGAGAAGGCCGGCCCACTCTGCCTGCCCCCCTCGGCGCGCCGCCAGGCTGTGTGCCAGAAGCCGGATACGTACGGCGCGGCCTGCCTGGGCGAGAGCTCAACACGCACGTGCCATGGAGGGTCCTGAGGCAAGTGGATCCTGGAGTTGCGATTCGCCGTGTTCGGGGGCCCGCGGCCTTCCCTGGGGGGCCTGGGACTGTCAAGCAGAGATTCAGTTTGAAAAGGCGGCCTTGAGGGGCGGCCCGCAGTCCCTGGGCCAGTCGATTTCTTTCACTAGGGGGCCACATGCGAACCCTACCCCTACCCCCCCACGATTTCTGAGGGGGAGGGTGGGTTTCACTTCGCTCGGGAGCGTTCCCGAATGCGTATCCAGCGTGCGGCTTCCGGATGTTCCCACATACGAGTGCAGCCGTTTGCGTCCTTAGCTGTTTAGCAGAGGAGGCAATATTCGTGGCTTGCACCGAAGGGAGATCCGAGGAGAGAGCGACAAGCGAAAACGTCCCGAATTGATGAAACAACAGATTTGACGAAACACACGCCATAACAAGACGATCTTCAAGACTTTGCGCGGGAGGGCGGATCAGAAACTCGGCGTTGCTAGGGAGCCTGTCGCGGTCGGCATTTCAGCGCAGCTCTCTGCAGCTCGCCTGGTGAATGGCTCGCGGCATCATCTTTCTGAGGAGGGGTGCACGAAGATACGATCGTTGCGCCGACCTCGAGCCAGGGCGGGGGGCGAGCTCACTCGCTCGAGGGCGCCAGGGGTCGAATTCCTGGGCCACTTCTTGGTCCACGCTCATGGGGCCTTCCGTGAAAGGGGCCCTGACGGTGGATGCGCACTCGCACACACAGCATATCCGAGTTGCAGGGGCGTTGCATTCGAGAGCAGCAGGAGGAGGACGAGGAGGAAGAGGAGGAGGAGAAGCAGGAGCAGGAGCAGGAGCAGGAGAAAGGAGCAGGAGCAGGGACAGGACAACGAGGGGGAGCGCGCGACCAGACCTACGGGGCTGTGGATTCTCCTGATCACGGCGCCGCGGGGACAAACTATGCGGCGTCCAGCTGCGCCGGCGGCCACCTGGGCAAGCCCGCGGAGTCGCGGCTGAAGGCGTCGTGCAGCGGCCCTCGTCTCTCTCCCCATCCTCCCCTTCCACCTTTCGTGAGTCTTCGTGTTGCGCACAGGCAGCCCCCCCAGATAATGGAGGATGACGATTAATGAATAAACTTTTTTTTAATCGTTCCCCCCTCCTTTTTTTCTTACTCGTCATCCCACATTAGTACGGGCCGGCCCCAACAGGCCGACCGAGAAGTCCCAGTTGGCCTCAACAGGCTCCCCGAGCAGTCTGGAACGATCTTAACACCCCGGCGACGCCTCCAGCGACGCCCTTGGGGCGTTCCGCGCCCTGGGGTTGAAGCCACCTGGGGCTCCCCGGGGGGGGCTGTTCGTGCGCAGCCTGGGTCCTTACCATCCACCCCGCCCGTCCCTCGTATGCCCTTATTCTTGCTACGAGCATCCTCCATCGGCGGGCCCAGATTGTACTTAATCGCTTGTTGGTTCCAAACCTGGAGCGAGCATCCACCTTTCATGTTGCTTGTGATCGTTTTGGCTTCTGAGGGCTTCTGTGGACGAGGAGGGAAGGAGAGGAGGAGCCGCAGAAGAAGGGAGGAGACTATTCCGAGAAGCGCTTCGCAATCAGCCTGCCCAGATAATTATCGTAGGTGTAGCATATTACTCGATACAGAAATCTCCATATGCGTATATCATATGTCACGCTTCGTTGGAGAATTCTGTAATATCAACTGGGTGTGAGAGCGAGTCCGCGTAGGTTGATGGCGCGGTCTCGCCGACGACGCCGACGACAGCGACGAATTCAGTGACGTTTTCCCCCCTGTTTGGTCACCTGTGGAAGAGCGAGGGGGAGTTCCTCTTGCCGTTTTCCCCGCGGCAGCTCGGGCAAACGCGCAAGGCGTTGCTACGCCTGCTATCTGGCGTGCTACTCGCGGCGCGTGCTGGCACTTGGGGTGCCCACGTGCCACGCTGGCTATATCGCGGTAGGCATTTGTGTGTGGGCACGAGTGCGAGTAAATCTGAGCGTGGGTGATCTGAGCGTGACCGAGTCGGAGTGTGAGCGGGCTCGGGTATGACGGGCCTGAGTGTAGGCGAATATGTAACAGCCAGTGTGGGCACGAGTGGGTCTGGGTATTCACCCGTCTAAGTGCCAACGAATGTAGTTGCGAGTGGGTGTAAGTGTGAAGAAGTGTGAGTGTGGGTGAGTGGGTTCGAGCGCACTGAATACAAATATGAGTATGATTGGGCCTGGGCGCGAGATAGTTTGCGTAAAAGTGAATTCGAACGTTGGCGAGTCGGAGTGTGAGCGAATCTGAATGCGATTTGGTCTGGGTGTGGGCGGGTCTGAGTTGGAGCGAGTCTGAGTATGAGGAAGCAGGCTTGTGTGAGTCTGAGTATGATTGAATACTCGTATGGGCAAGTCTGAACGGGATGGGTGGGGCTGGGCGAGGGAGAGCTGCTGATGCGCGATTTCGAGTGCGAAGGAGCGCGTCCGACGGGGGAACGGGGAAGAAGGTGATTGAGTGAATGAGGAGCACACGAGCTCCACAAAAGTCAGGGGGGGCAGAAACATGCAGACCGCGCCTCGCAATCTGGGCACGAATCCTGCGATGTCCTGGCCCGTGGCGCCTCCTTTTGGGAGTGCTGAAATCAGCGCCTCGCCTGAGGCATCTTCAGCATCTGCTCCAGAAGCAAAGGATACTGGGCACGCAGACAGGGAAACCGCCTGAGACATCCACCCACTATGTATACGAATCCTGGAACGTACTAGCCCCTGGCATCCCCCCTTCAGGAGTGCTGAAACTAACGCCTCGCCGGGGACATCCTCAGGATCTGCTCCGGAAGCAGAGGATGCTGGGCACGCAAACAGGCAAACCGAGTGAGGCATCCCCGCAATCTGGGCGCGTATCGCAAAGTTTCCTGATCCCTTGCGCCCCTTCCGTGGGATGCCCAAGTGGTACGCCTGCTATGTCGCGGTGGGCATTGGACCACCGATGAGTACGAGTGAGTTTGAGTCTGAGTATAAGAGACGTACGAGCGTGAGTTAGTCTGGGTGTGAGTGAGTCCGATGATGAGTGGGCCTCAGCGCGAGTGAGTCTGAGCGCGACTGCGTCTGAGAATCTATAGCGTGAGTATGAGCGAGTCGGAGTGTGAGTGAGCCAGGTTCTGAATGAGTCAGGGTGTGCGTGAGTCAGATTATGAGTGCGCTTGAGGGCGAGCGACTCGAAACGTGAGCGTTTCTGAGTATATCTGAGTCTGAGCGTTAGTGAGCCAGCCCGGTTGAGGAAGAGGAATGACGGGAGGTGCGGAGAAAGAGGTTCTCTCGGTGCCGCCGGAGATATACCAAGAATCCCACCTTATGCTATGGGGACTAAGAGACCCGCTTGCCAGCAAGTGCCCCGCAGAGATGTATTATCCACCAGTGGCCCCAGGGGCCCACAGAAGCTACGAGGCATCTTACTTAGAGCCTTCCAAGAAACAGCGAATTCATAGCCTAAACGTATCTTATGGCCAGATGTCTTCTTGGAGTTCATAGCCTAAACGTATCTTATGGCAAGATGTCTTCTTGTATCTAATGGCCGTTGGCCCATCCCTCCACCGTGCCCGGGTTGTGGGTATGAAGCCGGTTGGGTGTTCGCTCGGGTCTCGTGGGAGGCCTCTTGGGAGCCTCTCGGGGGCAATTTGAAAGCCTCATGGAGGCCGTTTTGGGTCCTGTGGGGGGCAGTCTGGGGGCCTTTGGGGGGCGGTTTTGGGTCTTTGGGGGTCTCGTCGGGTCTCTTGGGGGCCTTCTGGGGGTCTCCTGGGGCCTCCTGGGCGCCTTTTGGAGCCTCCTGGGAGCTTCTTGGGGCGGAAGGCTCGGATTTTCGGATCGTGTTCCCCCTCTTGAACCCATTTGCGGGCCGCCTGAGGGCACTCTTGGGCCGCGTTGGGCGCCTCTTGGGCCATCGTGGGGCCCTCTTGTTCTTTGAGGCCTCATGGGCCGCCTTGCGGTTGTTTTTCTGGGGGGCTCTAGGGCCGTCTGGGAGCTCCGGGAAGCCGAAACGGCGAGAATATCAATCATGTTGGCCTCTTGGGGGGCCTCTTGGAGGCCTCTTGGGACGTCTCGGCGGCCTCTTGGGCATTCTGGGGGCTATCTTGGGCGTTTTGGAGCAATCGTTCGGCGACTCGGGGCCCTCTTGGACCGTATTTGGGGGCCTCGGCCCTCCTGGCCCGACTTGGGGCCCTTTTGGGACCCAAAAAGTCAAGCGACAAGATGCGGGGGAGCCCAGGGGAATCGCGCCAAGCCTCGGTAGATGTCGGAGTCTGGTGTCTGGGCACTTTAATGACACCTCAGGTGTGAGGAATGAGGCTTAGAGGATTAGGCAAAGGACTTGAGGACACGCCCACTCGGTGCCGAGCGGCACATTGGCGGATGTACTTACTGTGCAGTTTGGGCGAGATTCTCGAAACAAGTGCAGGGCATTCTTCGTCTCTCCTGTTGAACCCGGCGCATGTTCTAGATGTTCGGCTCGTGGGCGCCTCGTTGCCGCTTCCTTGCCGCCCCGCCCCGAACTGGGATCGCCACCGTTGTTATCAAAATCATCGTTGTGATGGTAATCGTCAGGGTGGTGGCCCAAAAGATGGCCAACTGGCCAGGACCCTTCTAACTATTTTGTCGTTGTCTTCCAATCCAGGTACGCAGAGTGCGTCATGCGGCGCCGCTCTTCCTCCCCACCGTTCGTGACCGCCCTCGCGCTCCTGCTGCTGATGGGCTCCGCTGAGGCGCGGCGGTTTGAGGAGGCGATCGCATTCCATAGACTGGAGGCTGGCAGCTCCTCTGGACTCGCAGCCCGCGGGGCCGGTTCTGCCGCCTCGGCTTCGTCCGTCGCGGCTGGCACTGTGGACCCCATCTTTCTTTCCACCGCAGTCGGCCTCACGACGCTCGCCAACATCGCGAACGTGGCGCTGCACACGGTGCGCCTGGAACACCTCGAGGACACGGAATCGGTGCTCGCGACGATCCAGGAGAAGATTCTGTGGCTTACGCCACGCCGCCTGCCCCTCGGGGGTCAAAGGCGTCTCCCGGTGCGTTAACGTAGAGGCTTCTTGGTGCTCTGCTACCGATTCGGAGCCCAGAGCCTTGTTGGGCCGTCTTCGGGTCCGATTGGGGGATTGTTGAGCCATCTTTGGCCGTCTTGGCGCGCGTGGGTCTGTGGGCAAAGGCTGTCCTGGTCTGTATTGGCGATGTCCTTGCCCGTCTTGGACTTCTCTTGTCGGCCATCACATAGAAGGGCCACATGTTTTGGACGATGTTGGGACGCATGATTACTTCTCTTGTCGGCCATCACATAGAAGAGCCACATGTTTTGGACGATGTTGGGACGCATGATTACAAAGTTTCATGACCACGTCGAGCCCTCTCGGGGCTGGCATGCTGGAGGCTACATTCAATCAAGTTTGACCATCCAGTGGGTTCTCTCATGGAGACCACCTGGAACAGCTTGGGCCCATCTTGCCGCCATGTGCGCGACTTGGAGCGCCCTCCGCCCACTTTAGCACTACCCCTGGTGACCCCCTCCCCCCTCCCTTCAGACCAGCCGGACTGGGCTCTCCTAGGAGGGGCCTCGGGAACCCAGAACTCCCACGTCGTGATTTGTCACCACGTGGACCCCCGGATGTCCGGATCCCTTCCCCCGGGCCGGCTTGTTTTTGACGGATGCCCAGCGATGCCGAAAATGACCAAACATTACCCGTGGTGTTTTTGGAAACGACGCCAGGGGGTTTGGGTCGGGAAAGGGCACAGGTCTCACGCGACGAGCAAGCGCCAAGTAGCAGCTGGCGAATTTTCGCCGAGCGCGCCGACGCCTGCTTCTCGGTGCGCTCCCTGGAGGTGCAGGCCGACCTGCTCACCCGCGCCACGGAGGCTCTCGTGGAGTTCACCGGGGCACACGTGCCCGCGGATCGGAGGAGGAAAAGGTACCGATACCGCTACGGCGGGGGCGTTCGTTGAGGAGTGTGCCCAGGAGGCCTCAGACCCTGGAGGATTCCTTGTCTAAGCAGGGCGGCGGTGGTTTCCACGGCCAATCCACGGCTGGATCCCCACCGGGCGCCAGACCCTGGATTCTTGATCCAAGGGTTCCTTATGCAACGCCCTCAGCGTACTCTTCTTTCGTTTTCGCCTGTTTGGGGTTCCTGGGAGGCCCTCGTCGGCACGGCTGGATTCGCATCGAGATCCTGCGCAGAACGCGCCCAGGGAGTGGTCTGGGGAGCAGCGGTAGTAGCACCTTCTGGGTTTCCCCAGGAGGAAAAAACAAGTTGACATATCATAAATTGTGGGAGTTCCGCGCAGGTTTCTTGGACCTGCTCTGGGCCCCCCCTGGCTGCGCCTCAGGCTCCACCCCTGGCTCGCTCCTCGCGCCAGGGAAGATGCGTCAACCGCGGATCCAGGAAATCCGCGCGCAGGCTCAGTAGTTCCTTCTTGCTCTAAGGAAGCATACCCCCTGACGGTCTCCAACGGGATGCTCGGCCACGCAGGCACGCCAAACGCGACTGCGGCGAGGGCGATCGCGTCCGACGTGGCGCAGATCTCGAGGTCCCTCAAGGTGGTGAACAGCCACCTACGACGTGCCATGGCGGCGGCGGTGCAGACCGCGTGCCACTCGGCCGCTAGCGGCGAGATCATCATCCAGGCCGACGTTGAGCTGCTAAGCAAGCAGATCGAGGAGGCACATTCGGAGCTCATGTCCGCTGGCCTGCACCTCATTTCGGACCTCACTGGTGGGATCTTGACCGGCGTATTCGACCCCACTGAGCCCGTAGATATTGATTTGGAAGAGTCGATCCGACAGGGCGAGGTGCTGTTGAGTTCCCTGGCGAGCCTCGGGCAGCTTTCTGAGGACAAGTGGGATGGGCCTCCCAAGGGCATCTCACAGACTACTTGGGGTTATCTGGTCGAAGGGGTCACATATATGTGGGGTGCCGCCACTGCGCTTTCGGTGTACATCGAGGACACCGCAATGATCGATGCTTTAGTACAGTTTGATTTCATGCTCGAGAGCCTCTACAAGCTTGCTACGGGTTCAACTTCCACTGATTTGGATGCTGCAGTTGAGGTCCTCAACCTCATGAGTTCTATGCTGAGACTCACCAATTATATTATGAGCCTCTTGAGTGGTGAACAGAATCCAGGTGTGTTGTACGTGACGCTCACGGTTCAGACTTTGTCCGCCATGGTCAGGCTCGCGAGGACGTCGCTGATGTTGGAGCGGGAGCAGGGCCAGCAGCGTGAGATGATCGCGCAGGCGCGATCAACGAAGAACGAGGCAACCCTCCTGCGGAGCTATGGCACTTGCAATGCGTTGGGGACGGCCTGGGAGCTCTCTGGTACTGCTGGTGCCTTCATGAAGGAAGCGCAGGCAGCGGGCGCCATGTCTTTGCAAGGTCTCGATGAGGGCGTCTTGACCAGGGTCTACGAGCGGTATGTGGAGGAAAGGCCATCTTTGGCGGCGAAGGTCCTCCGGGAGGCCCTGTCTTTGGGGACGCCCGGGGTCACGGAAAGGCTTGTACGAACGGCTGAAACACTTGCGAGGGTGGCGCCTATTACGGACTTTGCGGTCGCCTCTGAGAGACATCAGGTGAAGGCTCTGGGCGCGCTAGGTTTCGAGCCCGTCAAGACAAGCGCACGCAGGGCCCGCTTCCTGATCTGCCGCGGGTGTGGCGACTCCGTCATCACGGGCATGAAGGTTGTTGATGACGAGACGTTTAAGGAGCTGGAGAAAAACTTCAGCAGCCCCCCCGAGCGCTTCGGGGACCTCTCCATGCCAAGCGACTCAACGCTCAATTTCGTTCAGCTGCCCAGGAAGGAGGGCTTTTCTATGCTTGCATTTGCGAAAGTGCCGATCACGTCGCTGTTAACACATTCACTGCCAGTGCTCTTCGACCTGCGCGAGGAGGTCTTCACCACCGAGGCGAAGAAGATGGACAAAGGGGCGCCAGAGCTCTTCCAGGAAAAAGCAAAGGCCATCCTGAAGCGCAACGACGTCGAGGTGCTCTCATGGAAGGCCAGGTATACAGGCATCGATGGATGGAAGAACGGCATGCTCAAAGGAGCTTACTGCGATGACCATCCAAACAAGTTAGAGTTCGGGAGCTTGGATATATTAGCAGGCCGTTTCCGCCAGACATCCCCGCATGATATTGAGGAGAAGGCACCCCATCGTAGCTTGGTGCCCGAGGGCCTCTTGCGGCAAGGACGCTACCTTACAGTGACCAAAGGATGTGGTTGCAGAATGGGCAGCCTGGGCAATCCGTATCGTGCGGGGGCTCTTGACAATGTGGCCAAGTGGTGGATGGCGATCGATGGCGACGACGACAACATGTTCCAAGCTCAACGGTGTCAGTGGCGCTATGATATCTGGATTTCTGCAGAGCCCCTGGTCGACGTCGAAATTACCAATGAAAATAATAATACCGAGCTCGGCTGCTCAATCTCCTACTCTTCCAAGGAGCTGCTGGAGCCGGTTGACGATTTGTCACAGCTCGTGTTTGCGATCGGCTACGACGGCGCCAAGGGCAAACACTGGGAATGGATTCACAACGATTGGTTCTGGGCGGCGCCCCAAAGGGGCGGCGGCGTCCTAGGAAAACAGGTGGGCCTATTCGAAGACATCCCGCCTCCAAGCCCAGGGGGGTCTCTCGGAAGTCGCCCTGGCAGCCTCGGGACCCTCTCCTCTCGGGCCTTTTCAGGAGGCCCGAGAGGCCAATCACCAAAAAATGTTTGCCAGCGTGGGCCCTGGGCGGCAACGCACCGAAACCTTGCCAGACCCACCCATCGCACGAGGCGGCCACGGACGGCAACGCGGAACATCCTCGCTGACCCCGTCCTTTTTGTTGTTAGGGAGGGAAGTGAGAGCCTTTCAGCGCAAGCACTGTCTGGGGACTCACAGGCCCAATGGAGAGACATGGGAGACAGTCCTACGGTCGGGAACTCTGGGACAGCGTGTCTCTCCGCCGGTTCTGGCCCACCGCGCCTCGGTGCGACACGCCATCCACTTCTCGGTCCCGAGGCGTCCACGTGCTGAGTTTTTCCGAGCTTCCCGTCCCGCGGAGCGGAGCGACACGCCGTCCACTCGCAAGGCGTAGCGTGTCGCCAGGGCCGCCGTGGCGACACGCTATCCAGAAGTTCCCGACCGACGGAGGAAAGAATGCGGAAAGGCCCCAACCAGCACACCAATCGACTTGCCCCTTGCGAAGGCAGTCGCCTTCGCCCCGCCTCCCCCCGAGCCGCCGCCGAGGCTCGGCGTCGGGACCCAGTTCCCCGACTCCAGGCTACTGTACAACTCGGAGGAGACCCAGGCTGGGAGACCTGGCCGCCCCTTCGTTACGCTCGAAGAGCAAACAGGAGGCGTATGCGTAATGTCTCGTGGGTCCGCGCAGATTTCGTGGAGTGTGGACCGTCGGAAGTTTACGTTTATCCAGGTTGTCCGTTCTCTATCCATTCCTACGTGCATTTTCGGGAGGCCTCGTCTGCCCCCTGGAAAGTATGTTGTTTTTTTCTGGTACCCGGCATGCGTTGGACGTGGAATCGCCGCAGGTCTGGCGTGATTTCGGCACGGATTCGACGCGGAGTCGACGTCGGATTCGACGCGGATGGCGGCGCGACGGGCTCGACAAGGTCTACCGAGGATGCAGCATAACGCTCCGATCCCCCCCGGCGTGTATACACCGAGCGCCTTGGCTGACCAGACGGCTTGGTTTATGCTCCGAGCCCCTCCCGCCCAGCTGCCTTCTCTGTCCCCCACCGCCGGAGCAGTGGACGAGGGAGGAGGGGGAAGGGAGAGGGAGGCATAGGATGGGGACGGGGAGGAGGGCGTGGAGGAGAAGAAAGAGGAGTAGGAAGATGACGACGACGAACGACCACGACGACCACGACGACAGCGGTGACCACGGGGGCAACGTGTGGCCAGGGAAACTAATATGTACATACATCTTCTCATTTATATATGCATGGTTGCCAGCGTGGGCAACAAACATGCAACTCAATGCAAAACACTGCCAGGGAAGGCTGAGCAATGCAAAGGCATGCAAAGCCATGCAATGCCAATCAAAGCAATGCAACGTGATGCACAGCAACGCAATGCAACGCAAAGCAATGCAATTGCATTGCGCAGTCAATCGAAGCATTGAAACGCAATGCAACGCAATGTATATCAATTTAAATCAATGCGATAGCAATGCGATTGCCATGCGGCGAGATGCTAAGACATGCACAGCCAATACAACGCAACGCAAAGCATTGCAAGGCTATGCAACGCGACGCAAAGCAAAGCGATGCCATGCAACGCACTGCAAATCCAGTTATAGCACTGTGATTGGAATTCAACACAATGCGAAGCAACGACAACCAATGCAACACAATGCAACACCATGCATCGCAATGCAACGCAATGCAAAGCAATGCGCAGCAATACGATGCCACGCGATTGAAACGGGGAGTTGTAGGGGGCGGCGGCGACGAGGCGGCGACGGTGCGGCGACGGCGAACGCAAGGCGGCTGACCTTGCAGCGGAGCCCAGTTCCTTCGATCCCAAGTATGAGACCCAAAGTGCAAACGCTGTTTCGGGAATCTATGTATATATACACAGATGTATATGTAAATACAGAGAGAGATCGAGAGAGAGAGAGAGAGAGAGAAACAAAAAAAAAAAAAAAGAGAGAGAGAGGGAGAGCGAATAAACAAAGAAACGAGAAACAATCACAATAGAATGGACAAAATAGAGAGGGGGCGGGGGGGGGGGAAGAGCAGTAGAAGAGGGAGATGGAAGGAGGAGGAGGGGAAGGAGCAGGGGGGTGAGATTGTGGAGGGGTCGGAGTAGGATTGCGGGGGAGGGTAACGGCCGTCTTCTCTCAGGTTGGCCCAGCTGGCCGCCCGTATGCCATGGATGACGACGGGTGCAGCTCCGATGTCGCTTTCCAGGTCTGGGCAGTGCTTCCAAGGAAGGGCAACAAAAAGCCTCCTCCTTCTCCTCATCCCGCTCATCCTCACCGTCCTTCCTCTCCATCTCCTCGTCGTCCCCCTCCTCCTGCTCCTCCTCCTCCTCCTCCTGCTCCTCCTCCTCCTCATCCTCCTCTTCCTCTCCGGTTGCTTTCCTGAAACTATGTTGGCTCAAGGCTCATGGGCGGGCGGTCTGCGCCCGCGTGCATTCATCAGAAACCTCCAGTCCGCGGCCGCTGTCGCAGGCCTCCGGCAGTGCCCGAGCTTGTCCCCGACGCAGTGCCCGAGCTTGTCCCCGACGAGGCAGGATGCAGAGGTGCGGTAGGCTCGTGCCGCGCCGACGCGGCAGCGACCCCGCCGCGAGCTTGTAAGGCTGAGCGCCGCCAGTGACCCAGAACGGGCCAACATGGAACGATCTGGCGATCACGATGCCGCCGATTCTCTTCCATGCCGAACGATCCACACGATCTCAGAAGCCAACGCCGGGATCGTCACATAACAAATTTTGTGCTGTGTCTCGCCCGCGTGCACTCGGCAGACGCCGCGGCGGCCGTTGCAGGTGTCAAGGAGGGCCCGAACCTGTCTCCGACGAGGCAGGAAGTGGAGACGCCCTTCTCCGCCTCGTCCTCCTCCGCCTCGTCCACCTTCTCGTCCTCCTTTTCTAATGCTGGCAGAGTTTGGCTTGATGATGCACACAGCCACATAGTGAAACACCTTCCCCCTCCTTCGCCTGCCTCGGGTCCTGGGATCACCCCCTCGTCGTCGAGGTGGTCGGTCATCTCTTCTGCTCCTCTGGGCCTGGCGTGTCGGATTGCACTGCAGCTGCTTGACGACCCTCTCCGGAGCAGCTCCAGTGAAGGGACGGGGCTGCAGAGGGGCCGCAGGTTTTCTCAATTCGCGGTCCTGCTGTCAGCCAGCGGTGTCCCCCAACGGGGTCGCGAGAAGGCTTTCCTCTTGAGGAGAGCTCAACATATCTAACACGGTTCTTCTCAGATATTTTCGGTGGCGATTCTTGCTCAGGAGCTCATCTTGGATCACTCGAGTTCCGTTCTGTTCTCATCCGACGATGGGCGCCTCATTCAGGCGTCCCCCGCGCGGGCGTCAACAGGGACGCAACCCGCCCGTGCCGCAAGTCGCACAGGCTCGTCAGGCCCCCTAGCGACGAATCGCTAGAGAAGGGATCGATGCTGTGTCATTTCCTGGATGGCCTGGGCGCACCTCATAGTAGAAACTCCGACAACTAAAGAAAAGCATGCAGCTAATCGGCAGACTTACACATAGCACCATACAACTCGTGCAAGCCATGCAGAATTGCCCAAACAACTGATGCAACAAATGCAGCAGGGCCCGAACAAGTAATCAACCAATGCAGACATCCCCGAACAACACATGAACGGATGCAGAATTACCCAAACAACTTATCAATGTATGCAGCATTGCCATAACAACTACTGAAACTGATGCTGAATGCCCCGACGCACTAATCAACTAACGTAGAGATCCCCGGGCAGCTGACCAACTAATGCAGCATTGCCCGACAGCAGCATTGCTTGAGCAAGAAATCAACCAACCAGTGGTCATGGGGTCATGGGATCATGGGTCATAATGCGACCGTCGGGTTCACTGTGGCCATCGTCATGGTGTCATGGCGATCGTCATATTATCGTCGTTCTCTTCGTGTCGCGGTAGTCGTGGTTGCCGTCGTTTTCGCCGTCGTGGTCGACATTGTGAAATCGTGCACGTCGTCGCGGCTGTCGTTGGTCGCCGTCGTGGTTGGCGTCGGGGTCGTTGTCATTTTCATCGTCGTGGTCGTCTTTGTGGTCGTCACCGTAGTCGACGTCGTGGGCGTCGTCGTGTGTCGTCATCGTTGGCATGCTCGCGAAAGTCGTAGGCGTAGTCGTAGCCGTAGTCGTCGCTGTGAAGGTCGTCGTCGTCGTCGTCGCGGTCGTCGTCGTCGTTGTGGTGGTCGCCGCCCTTGTGGTCAGCGTCGTCGTTGCGGTCGACGCGGGCATCGCCGTCGTTGTGTTGACCGTTTCTGCCGTTGTGGTTGTCGTCGCTTGCCTTCTGGTGGTGTTCGTCGTCGTGGCGGTCCCGCCTGTCATTGCTACGTCGGCCCAAACGCTGCCACCCCAACTGCGGAGCGAACGTTGCCCGTCAGTGGCCCGTGGCGCGTTCATGGTCTGTTGCCTTCTGGAACACATGCCTGGACTCGTGGCAGTACGTTGTTAGTTTGCGCCTTTTGTTATCGCTTTCGATTATGTCGACGAGGGTGGCGACCTACCTGCCGAGCCGACGTTGCCACATGTTAACTCTCCGACGGCGCGCAGCCGCAGTCGTCCCATTTTTTCTTTCACCAGCGCTTCTTGCAAGAGTTTGGAATTAGTCCAGATGCCGCGGAGTCAAGTTCTGGTAGCCCCAGCCCGCACATTGCCCAGGATGTGCCAGGGGATGGGTTGAATTCTGTCGAATCTCAGCCAGATAAGGGGCCAGATAACACGGATGAGCTCGAACTTTGTCGCAGGCCCGCTCCTGGGCGTAGTTTGAGCGGGGAGCCAAGTGAGTTCGGGCGGCGGCAGTGCACCCGCAGTGTTATTGATCATACGACCGAGCACATCGGATGAGTCTGGTGGGCCTGGTGGGAGCAGCGGTCGCGAGCTGGCGGGCGATGTTGGGCACTGCCGTGTTCCTGAGGACGTGGGTGGCTAGTCATGTGAGCAGATGAGCCCGGTCATCGGCGTTGCGCCCGTAGGGTCAGCTGGCGACCGAGCCCACCTGAGTATTGATGGGCCACTTGGCCCGTGCCCTGTCGCATTGCTGATCTGATCCAGTCGGAGGTCGATCGGCCATCGTCGGTTGCATCGGCATCGGCGCTGCATGGCCCCTGTCCAAGCAATTTCGTTGGTGCTTGGACTGGTGCTGGACAGGTGGACCCACGCTTGCAGAGTTAACCGATGACACGGGGCCCTTAGATTCGCAGCGCCCCCAGGTCGAACGTCAATTGAAGCAGGGCAAGATCAACGGCGAGGTGGGGCGCACAGCAGAGTACGACGCTGAACGGCTGCGCCTGCTGGCCGAGGCTGATGAGTGGCGGCTCGATGAGATGGAGGACGCCAGGGGCACCTAGCACGCCGAAGCGATGGGGGCAGGTGCACCGATAAATTGGGCGTGCACGACGCGCGACTTCATCTTCGGCGCTGCTGACGCCAGGCTCTCCGTCGCCACGGAGGCGACCCAGGGAGTGATGAGCGACGAGGGTGAGTTCTACATTGGGGCCGCGCGTTCTCCTGGCCATCGCTGTCCGGGCCGTCCGACGCAGAGGTGCCGCGTGGGAGGGCGCTGCGAAGGTCGGGCAGCGATGAAGCCCGTCCTGCCCGCGCTCCCAGACCCCCCCCCCCCCCCAGCGAGGGGGGCGAACTGGGGCGCGCTCCGATGAGGCGCGGCAAGACTTGCCAACGCCCGCGTTGGAACAGAGCGGATGTGGCGCGCCACCAGGAGTGCATTGTTTTCTCTCCGTGATATTCGGCGTCGGGGTTGTCAAGTGGAAATTGGGCGACAGGGCGCATTGGGGTTTGCGCGCTGCGCGCTGCGTGCTGCGCACCGACGTCGGTCGCTCGTGAGAGAAGCAACCGCTGCTCCGTCTCCGCCCGGACATCCGCTGTTTTGTTAACAGCATGGGGGGCCCGGGGAGATTCGGGCGTCTCCAAGGGGCCTTCAACGGGAAAGTTTTCTGGCGAGGCTGTCTGCGGGTCGGGGCTTCTCGCGGCGGCGGCGTCTTGGGTCAGGTCGTTTCGACGCAGAGCGTTTTGCGCGATCCCGTGATGCGCAATGCCGCGATGCGTGATGCTTCGCGTTGTACTGCGCGACGCGCGATGCCCCCGGGCCCCCGCGCCCCGTGCCCCCGTGCCCTCATGCATCCATGCCCAGGGGCATCAAGTGCGACATCCCGTCTCGGTCTCGACATCTTCGCAGCCGCTCTGGATTTCTTTCCTGGGGGGGCGATGGCTTTCTTGCCCGATCATTGTGCTGGCGAGCCTGCCCGGGCGGGCGCCAGTCTGGCAGTCGAGGCCGCCCCCGACGGCGACGACGCCGGCTGCGGCGCGGCGCGGCCCGGGGCGGAGGCGCCCGCGTCCCGCGGCGCCTTCCCGCAGCGAGCCGCGTGGCCGAGGTCGGGGATGCCGGCGCCCGCGGGGCCCTCGCTCGCGTTTTCAATGGCGCCAGCGCCGCGGCGTCCAGGGCGGCAGCGCGCTTCTTCAATTCGTTGGCGGCGCGGCAACAACGGCGCTTTCGGCGCGGCAGTTCGCCGACAGCGTGGCCCGAGCGTCCAGTTGAGCGGCCGACATCTCAGGCGAGGATGCCGACGATGCCGATCGCGCCAGAGCCGCGCGGCGCGAGCCGCGCTCGAACCAGCGGGCCATCAGAGGCGCGATTCAGTTTTCTCCCGGATCGGAGTGGGCGCCGCCACAGCGACTGCGCTGGCGCGAATGGCGATCGCATCCGCCCGGTGGGGCTGGCGTTGGTGACGCGTGCGCGCGCGCGTCGAGATTGCGAAGCCCGCTTGGTTTGACCCCGCCAGCCAAACGTGCGATTCGGAACTTGCGCGGATCTGGCGCGACGCGCGGCCAGGCGGCGACTCCGGGCTAGAAATGTTAATGCCAGAAGACATGAAGGAAAGGGCGGTGCGCTTTCCTGTCTGGGCATTGCGCCCTCAGGGTCAGCGCTCGTCTTCCCCCGCCCTCACCGCCGGGCGTTGCGCCTTCGGGGGCAGCCCTCGCATCCCCCCCCCCTCCCCGCCCTCCATCTCTGCGCGCCATTGGCCACAGCCTTGCCCCTGATCCCTGGCGTCGGAAGGCCTCGTGCGCATCGCAGATATAGGCGGCGGGGCGCCGCGGGCAGCGGAGCGGCCTGCGGTCCGCCATCTGCGCGCCAGGAGCTGATCGGCTACAGCGAGCACCGGCGACGCAGCCTCGCAGGCGGCCGCAAGC